GGCCGAACATGCCAGGTGGGCCGTTCGTCGCGTGAGGGCGGCGCGCCGTACGGAAGCGGCCCCTCGGCTCCCGGGCCGTGTGCGGTCAGCATTCGCCGCTTCAGCAAGCCGGGCGCCCCGCCGGAACCCGGCCCCGGCGAAAAGGGCGGGCCCGGCGGAGGGAGGGCGGAATGGCCCCGAGAGCGCGCGCGGGGCACGCGGCGTGCGTCGTGGCGGCTCCCCCGGCATATGCGGGGCGCTGGCCCAGCAGCCTTGTCGGTCCCGCTGGGAAAAAAAAGAAATTCGCCCCCTTGCAGGCGAAGGAAGTTAGAAAAAGATGCAGAGGAACACCTCCACCCGCACGCGCTGGTGAGAAGTCTTGCGATTCCCGCGACGCCCTCCGGAAGCATCTGTCCACGGCGCACGGCGCAAGTCACGCCCAGGGGACTGTTTGGTCGCGTCCAACGGCAGCGCCCCCACAAAAAACGACCATGCGATGACCGTGAAGCGGGCGCGGCGGACCGATGCCAAAGATTCCTCGGCGCGATGTGTGCACAGAGTGCCCGCGCCGCCCCCCAACCCCTCGCCACCGAGCGCACACCCCAGGCGCCCACGCTGGCAGATCTCACGGCAAGGGCAAACCGCGCCGTGGTTCGGAAACAGCTTGTATGTGAGGGGGCGCCGGGGCACTTGCTTCCCCGCGCGGCCCGACAATCCAAATTCGACCTGGAGGGATTGGAGGCACCTGAGCTCGACAGTTCAGCATGCAACTGGCTCGGCTCGCTTGCGGGCCTGTTCGGCCCCCCAAGCCGTGAACCGTTTGCCGTCCATGGCGACAATACGTGTGTGGATGGCGTCGCTCGCCCGTTGGGTGGAGGCAGCGCCCTTTGTTTTATTGTTTTGCTCCTTTTCCCAGCTTTGATTCTTTTGCTTCGGCCTTATACACCCCGTTGGCAACGGCATAGCACGCCACGGAAACCGCAGATCGTGGGTTTTCCGCCTTCCTCGCGTCTTGGAGGAGGAAACGGGCCCGGCAAGAGGGCCGGGGCCCAACTTCGGCAGCCTCGAGGGACGGCGAAGGCGCCGTCGCGGCAATCCACGCAGCGGAGTGGCGGCGGAGCACCGCGCGCGCGCCGAGGCGGGGCGGTTGCGGGCGGAGAAAAAGAAACCTCCCACCGAAGAAGCGGCAGGATGGTGTTGTGTGCTTTGCGCCTGAAACGCCGAGTTCTCCCTATTCGGAACACCCTTGTGGGCGGGATTGGGGGCGGGAGTTCTTTTTTTCCTTTGTTTCGGCGCCGGCGGCGGGAGGCAGCAATTTTCTTCCCTACAGCGTCCTACGGAGGGTTGCGGCACTATCTGGGACGCTTTTCTTTTTGCGAAAACAAGTGTTTAAAAGGGCGCGCAAGGGCAAAAAAAAAAACGAAAAGAAAAGGGGAACGACTTTGGTTTGCGTCGCTCTTCTTGTTGCCCCTCCGGCGTGCTTTCTTATTGCGTTGGCGGTGCGGTGGGAAGGAGGGAGGGAGGGAGAAAAAAAAAGCGGAGGCGGCGGCGGGGCACTGGGCTGGCGCGGAGCTTCCGCAGTCGTCTTGGCAGCGCCGCGCGCCACCAACAACAACAACAACAAAAAAATAATAATCCACACGCGCTCCGGGACAAATGTGGCCGGCAGCGTGCCGTCGGGACGAAAACCGCGCGGTGTTCCTCATCGCCGCGCCCTTTTCGAAAGAAGAACCGCCCACGCGACGGCCCCCGCGACGTAGACGGCGGCCCGCGCCAGTCGCTGTTGCGCGGGGCCCTCGCACAGGAAGCGCAGCGGCGGCGCCCCCAGCATGTTGCACAGCGCGTGGGAGAGAATGGTGGCGAGCAGGTTTTTCGCACAGACGGTTGTGTAGTAGTAGCCGCTGAGCAGGCCGTAGGCGAGCGTGCACCCAAACACCCCGGCAAGTCGTTCCAGAGCCCGTTTCCAGTAGACGCGCGACTCGGCCTCGGGTTCGCCCAACTCGCTTGCGCTCCGGTACTCCTCCGCGGCCATTGAGAAGATGTGGTGCGAATGGCAAAGCGCAAAGAGCACGGAGGAGACGGCGATGGACGTTGCCGCTGAGCGCCGCCGCAGCAGGTGCAGCAGCAGCGCCCGGAAGAATATCTCCTCCCCGACGGGGGCCAAAACGTAGTTCCTGAGGAAGATAACCGGATCCGTCGCGGACCACCTGGGAAAGCGGGCGCCCTCCACAAGCGGGCCGCTGAACAGCAGCAGCGTCGCCACGCCGGTTTTCGCAACCAGCGCCAGGGACTGCGAAATCGTGCCCTCGGGGCAAACGGCGTGGCGCAGGAGAGAGCTGCCCCACAGCGGTCGACAGTCGCTAGGCTGCCTGCGAAGAAGGTGTTCTAGAAGCAGCATGCTCGCCCCCGTGGCGCCCACGAACGACACGGCGCGCCTTCGTATCGTGGAGGGGGCGTCGCGAACGACGCAGTGGACCTCATCCCCGGACGCCGCTTTCAGGTCCCGCACGCACCGGCGTGCGAATTGGCGCTCCTTTGGCCACGCGTAGACGGACCCAACAAAACCACCGGAGAGAAGGGCACAGAGCGCGATGTCAGTCATGCTTCCGCCCTTTTTGTTTCCTTCCTGCTTCGTGGAGGGGGGGGGTGGTGGTCG